CATAATTTAGGGTATTTATAATAGGTCATGATGAGCAGGACCGTTCAAGTTCACTTCTGCTTGAATGTGACTGTGATCTTCTGTCTTTCTGTCTTAAAGTCTTGGCTTCTGTTATTTGTTATCAACCTATTTACCTATCTTCAGGAACTCTGGGAATAAATTAAAAAGATTTTTTTGACATCTTAACCTTCAAAACATTTCTGGTTTCATTATAATTCACATAGAATCTGCAAAGGTATTGCTTTTAAACAGATTCTGATTTTTGAAAAGTGATTGATTATTCTCTGTACATGGGTGCAGTATAATTCCCCAGCTTATGTGTTTTTCTGTTTGATCATGCATTATCATATTTCATCTAGCACCTTAAACATTGATCAGGTTTCTCCATTATGTGGTTCTTTGATCTGTAATTTATCCATCTATTTGAAAAAAAAAAAAGGAATTATATGTAATAGAAACAATAAAGGATAAGCCAATTAGAGGACATCCCTAAATAATAATAGTTGATGCAAAGTTAACTCTCAGACCCTGTGGCCTAAAACTCCTTTTGAATTAAATAGTGAGAGACTCTGAGCACAGTTAGGTATAGTGGGGAGTGGGCCAAGGACAGAGTGGGCATGAGTTGGTAGGAATTCTGCCAAGTGTGCTTGTCTTGAGAAGAGCTCACCAAGGCTGCTATAAAGCTAATTTGTAACTGAAATTCTCTTGTGGGCAGACAAATGTAATGTTAAAGAGAAATTCCATTATGCTTCATCAAGCAAGACTTACTAAATGCCCTATTTTTACATTTTTCTTTCTGAAAATACCATTCATCTCACCTCTTCCTGCCTTTTGTAAACAAAATTTATTAACTCCTTTCAGCACCTGGATTTTAGCTCTCTCCTCTTTTTACTATCTTTTTCCTCTACTCCGGTCTCTTTGCATGCTCTCCTATGCAAATGCCTCATGTCTCTTTTTTGCATAACAATAACAAACATTAATTGATATTTACTGTTTGTCAGGCACTTAGCTAAGAAGTTCAGTTGCCTTATCTCATTTAAGGCATTCAGCAGTCTTACTATCCCTATTTTTTGATGGAGAAACTGAAGCTTTGAGATGTCAAGTGACTTTCCTAAATCACACAGCTCCTAAGTTTTAGAGCTGGGATGCAATACCAGATATATCTGGGTAGGGAGAAGGCTCCCAGGTCCATGTTCTTAAGGTTTCTTTGTGATGTATGTCTCTTACTGAACATTTGGAAGAAATGTAAAAGAAATGTGCTTTTTAAAACACCTACAAAGTTTTACTAGAGGTAAAACTTTGCTATCTTTTTCTTCCTTCTGTACTACTTACGCATAGTGAATTTTTAATTTCTAGCACTCGTATTTGTTGATCATTTTGAATTAATTAATACCTTTAAAATCCATAAAACCAGAAATCTTATTTTACCAGCAAAACATATTTTGGTATCTTTGAAAAAAGTATATCTTTCATGCTATTTTAAATTATATCCTCAAAGTGGAACAAATAATTCATTATCATTTGATTTTTCAGCAATGCTACATCATGTTAGAGAATACTTAATTGTTAAGTAAAAAATTAAATGTGGTTCTGTGAATATTTCTGATGATGAAATGTCCTTTTTGTTTCTAATATATTTTATTCAAGGAAATGTACCAGAATTTCTAAAGGAAATTCTAGGAGAAGATTAAAATTATTTTTTCAATCTTGCACACACTTCTGGTCCACAAGATGAAAACTTCCACAAATGAATATTGTAGGCTTGTGTCTGAACAGAAAGAATGGGAAGAGTGAAAGCATCAGCTTAATTACATTGGTGGAGTAGGGAGGAAGTCTGTATGCAAATGATTTCTATTACAGTGGTTCTGAAACACTATAAATGCTGTACTTTGTTCTGGGACAAAGTATTCCTTACACTTGAAGCTGATACACTTTTATGTTTCAAAATGAATACAGGGTGCTAACTTCACTGAAAAGGTTATCTATTGGTAAAGAAAGCAGATTAATTTTAAATAGCTGTGACCCTCTAGACAAATTCTATTTCAAGTGAACTGGGAGGAAGTTGAGTGTCCTAGTTTGGCTTGACATTCTCTGCTTCTTTTGAGAATTTGAATGTAAACTCCTCATCATCATTTTTTTTTTTTTAACTTAACATGATCAACTCAGAGTACCTTTATATCAGGATATACTTTTGAAAAAGACAAAACCAGGTTAAAACCTTCTTGCTGTCCCCATCAGCACTGTGACCTTGTCAGTAAAATTCTACTATTTATAAAATGGGGACCAAATCTTTATAAATTGAAATGAAAATAAATAAATGCAGTGATTATACTAATATATCACATAGTAGGTATCCAAAAATATTTAAATTTCTGTCCTGTTCTCTCTTCAGCAAATCCCTGAGCACATCTTTGACCTACCTGTCAATAGCTAAAACTTTCATAGCTGAGGCATCTTGCCATTTATACATATACCTGTACACTTTAGTTTCCTGGTTACTCCTTTTGCCACCCCTGGACATGCTTCCTTTCTTTGCATGGAAAGCTAAAGTTCAAAGAGACAAAGTAACTTGACCATGATCATAGAGTTGATAGAGAGCTGGGGCTCCGATCCAGACCTCCTGACAGCTCATCATCCTGTGCTCTGTGTGCTGCACTGAATCTGCCTACTTCATCTACATATTCAGGAACAACCATGTGTTCTGGGCTCTGTTTTCCTCACACTTAATTGACAATTAAGGATCCCACTGTATGCAAGAGGAAAAAAATAGTAGTTTAATAGATATAGCCTCCAGAATTTTTTCTAATTCAGCCACTCCCTTTTGTGAAAATCAATGTTTTAAGATATGATTAGTATTCTGAGCATGGGGTGATGGTAAACATAATGTTTTTGCATTATCATGAGATGGCAAAATTACCCATTCTCAAAGGACCAGCTGCTGCAGGGAGGCTGGCACCCATGCTGCCTATGTTCTCAAAACTATTTTAATTGGTAGTTTTCTGGATTTTTTTTCTTTGTCAGAGAGGAAATGTATGTGTAAATCCATTAAACCTATACCAACTGTTATGATGAGTGATATCACTGAATCTTTGTAAAATGTTCCATCTCAGGATTTTGAGGCTGCTCTGTGTTCTCACTGAGGCAAGGGTTTCTATAGCTCACCTCCTCAAGCAATCATTGAAAAAATATGTACAAAACAAAGACAGGAAAATTCTACCCATACTTTTTGTATAATATCCCTTCTATGGGCCTAAATGTTTGAAATACTGTGAAAACATATATGAAACTATTGATCACATTAGATATATGTGGTCCTAAGAGGAAATTGCCCACATTTTGAAGTGAAGAAGACCTGAGATCAAATCCAATGTCCACCCAAATTGCTGACAGCTTTAAACAAAAGACTGAACCAGTTGGAACTACTCCTCTCATTTCTCTAATATAAATAATAAGTCTTATTCCACAAGGTTACAGAAAGAATCCAGTAGTTAGGAACATTAGAAATCAAAGAATATTACACCATTATCAATAACAACTATTAATCAGGAACATATTGGGCACTTTGTAAGGGCTCATGTGAACATTATCTATTTTAATCTTCCCCCAAGCCTTTGTACTACATATTGCTATTATATCCAATTTAGAGATGAGAATATGGATACTTAGGCTAAGATAACTTTCCATAAATAAAAATTAAGGAAATAGAGGACCCAAGGATTGAACTGAAACTTATTATTTATTAATTCAATTAATATTTGCTCATAATAGATCTCCTAAGCAAAACTGGACTCTGGAAAGAGGAAGTTGGAAATGGGAGTTACATAAGCAATCAACCATGTTCACTTTACCCTGGCTACTATGTAGAGAATAAATTAAAAGGTGACAGGTGAGGATTCAGAGAGATGAGGCAGGTGGTTGTGAAAGTTCAGGTGAGAGATGAAGTTGGCACCAGTAAAGGTGAAGAAACCTGAATGAACTAAAGATACACTGAGCAGGTGCAGCTGAATGTGTGGTGATGGCAGGAAAGAGAACTCAGGCATGGATAGCCCTTGTCCCTGACTCTGAGCAACATGCTGATCTGAGTTGAGGAATTCTAGAATGGATATAGAGTGATGACATCTTTAGCCTCAAGCCCCATGCTCTTAACCACTATTAATGCTATCACTAATTGTTATTGTGAAAATAAAAGCACTTGAAATCTATGCCACATAACTGTAAACTACCCAGAAATGTTTATGGAAAAGTCCAATTATTCCTTTCATTGTGCAAATGAAAAAAAAAATGAAAGTCTGACATAGAACTCGCCATAGTTCTTAGTTTTCAAAGTAAGTACCTTGAACAAGATTGCAAATCTCTTCAAACTTCATTAAATCTGAATTTTAATATTTATAATGTTGTGAGATGAATTTGATGAAGAAGTATTTGAAGATAATTTGCCAGAAAGTTAGCAGGTTTATTTTAGATGATTGAGTCATACATAATTTTCATCTTTCCAACATTTTATATTTTTCAGATTTTCTAAAATGATTGTATATTACTTTTACAACTAGCAAATTAAGAATTTTAGAAAATTTAATGTATAAAGTTACATTTGTTATGTCTATATAGTCCATAGTTATAAGTCCTGAGAACCACTCAAATCATAACCTTCAACCAAACCAGTTTAAAACCAATCAAAACAATGATGTAATTCACAGATATCTTAAAATACATGTCCTAACTATGCCATAAGACCTGCAGCCTCTATCAGCATGAATTGAAGTTCAGGATGGAAACTGACTAGTAGTGTGCTCAGTGTGGGGAAGGCTGGGAAGGCAGAGAGAGCTTAAAGTTTTCTTGATTTCTTGTAGTTTAAATATCCTTTCAAATTTGAACACTTAGCGATTTCTTATACTTTTTACTTCCTATTATCATAAAAGTAGAAAGTCACAAATATAAAAATATTCTTTTTGAGATCCTCCCAGCACTGTTGAATCTTGCCTCCTTTTCTTCCTTTTCAGGGTCAATGATTGTATCTTGCGGGTGAATGAAGTGGATGTGTCAGAGGTTTCCCACAGTAAAGCGGTGGAAGCTCTCAAAGAAGCAGGGTCTATTGTCCGGTTGTATGTGCGTAGAAGACGACCCATTTTAGAGACCGTTGTGGAAATCAAGCTGTTCAAAGGGCCTAAAGGTAATAAAAAATTAAATGACTCATGATTAGACATGAATAGCAAAAAATATTTGGCTAGAGTTTGTACCACAACCCACCTACAACATACCTTCTTGTATTCTGACATTCATTGTTTACCAAGAGATTTTAAATTCTGCAGTAATAGTTTTTATAGAGAGGAAAGAAAAAAATAGTCTTCTTTCTTTCTTTTTTTTTTTATTTTTGTGGCACTGGGGATCAAACTCAACACTTCATGCATGTGAGGCAATACTCTACCAATAATCTATGTTCCCAGCCTAAGAAACCAAAACTCTTAATATGAACTCAGATAAGGAAATGACAGACTTATGTAGGGAATGCCTTTAGTAATAATAAGTAGTAGCAACAACCATTACATTTTTTGAAAAATTTTTAATGCATGTTAATTTTTCAGATATAAGTGATAAATCCTCTCAGTAATGTAGTAATCTATACTGACATAAAAATGATAACAATTACAACACTTTATGATTTGCTTTATTTTTGTGATATTCTTATACATTATGCCCAAAAAGTATTACATAGTATTTTATACTTGGAATAACTAAAATAAACTTTAATTTTTTGAAGTGTCTCAGATCTATAATGTTACTGTGGTTACTCTGAAGAACTACATAGGCAGTAAGATGAATCTTCATATCAACTTTTTTTTAATGTAATTTTTTAAAATTTATATATGACAGTAGAATGCATTATAATTCTTATTACATATATAGAGCACCATTTTTCATATCCCTGGTTGTATACATAATATATTCACATCAATTCCTGTCTTCATACATGTACACTCTAGATAGGGCAGAGGGGTTGGAGGGGAAGGGACGGGGCATGGGGTAATTCATACCAACTTTTAAGAATGATCCTTTTAACACTATTCTTTAAAATAATAACATTTAATATTAGTTTAGTAGTGTTCAAACATTTTAGAAAAATCTATTATTTGGCTTTACAGTATTTAAATATTTTTAGGTAATGATTAGATTAATCACTATACACTTTGAGTGAACCATTTCCCTTTCCTTTAAAATCTATTTCAATTCTAATACTAAATGTGATTAAAAAAAATAAGCATGCAGTTTCCTCTGGGAGACAGTAATAGGTGGTCTTTAATATTTCAGGCCTAAGAGTCAGAACTGAGTTTAAAAGCTTGGTTCAGCCAGTTACTGGTGGAGTCACCTTGATTAGGCCACCCCCTTCATTATTAAGTGGGGATCATAATGGTATATCTACCTCATAAGTTTTCTGAGGACTAAGCATTAAACTAATAGTGGGTACATAATAAGCCAGTCAAGCCTGATGAAGAATTCAGACTTTAGACCCCAAAAGTCTAGATTGGAACTCTGCCTCTGCAGCTCACCAGCTGAGAGGCTGGGTAAAATGATTAACCTCTCTTTGCCTTTTCTTAGACTGGGTAAAATAATTAACTTCTCTTTGCCTTTTCTTATCTACAAGAAGCAAATAAAAATAGTACTTGTTCTTAGAGAAGTTGTGAGAATTTGAGTCAATTTGCATTAAATATTTAGAATAAAGCCTTACACAAAATAACTGCCCAATAAATATAACTATGGTAAACATGTTATTTTTAGTATAATTTACTGTATATGATTTTAGCCTGTATAACAATCGTTTGGTAATATAAGGAAAATACTGAGAGATCTCTCATGGGTTAAATCCCAGTGTATTAAAATCACAGACTTAAATTTCAAGAAAAGGAAAAAATAAAGCATTTTCATACTATACTCTTTAGTGGTATGGAAGAAAGACTATCTATTATTCTTATCTATTTACTAAAATTGTATTGGCAGTGCACCTGAAATTTAAACAAAGTAGGCATGCATATTATTATTGAAACTACATACTACATTTAGATAATATGTAGCTATTTCTATAATTCAGTTATTATCAATTATTCAGCACATCCCTAAGGCAAATACTAATTTTAAGCACCCAGCAAAATATTACAGTTCATTCACAAGCGTCCAACTTTCCAGGTCACTTGATGACCTCCAACTGCTCAGCAGAGCACTTAAAAGCTATATAGAGAATTGATAAACCAAAATGTCTTAATTTTATCAAGAACACACTTTTGAACCCTTATTTTTGGCACTTGGGCAACCCTCCAGCTGCTTTACTTAATTCTGAACTCTTATTTTTGAGCCTGGAGTTGGGCAGGAATTGCTTTGCAACATGGGGCAGTGGGGGTGTGGGGAAGCTTTAGAAATGCACATGAATCAACCAGGTATACTTAGGCAATAATCCACCAAAATTACACAACCTGTAGAAGAGGGGATCATACATGATCTGGTGTAATGAGCTAAGGAGAACAAGGATAATACTGGAAAGAACTTTGCATGGTGAAAGCCAGATCCTGCCAAATCCCCCATTAGGCCTGTTGGAATTATGCTGAGTTAGTTACACTTCTTGTACAGTTGTTATGCAAAGGTCATTGATTTGGAATTGATTTCTCTATATAAAACTTGTTGGTTTACAAGAAAATTAACTATTCTAATCATTGTTTGAATAACTAATGCCTCTTCCAGGGCCTTAAACACAGGAAGTGCAGAATCAGCATAAATGAAATAATTAAATTTGATCTTATTCTAAATCTAATATTTTGCTATCTTAACTTCATTTAGCAACTTATAATTATTTTTGACTTATGGTACATTTGAAAGAAAGTTCTATCAATGTTTAGCTTATACCATGAAGAGCCATGTGCATTGTGGAGGATGAAGATGAATCAGCTGGAGTCTCCTCAAAAAGTTCTAATGCAAAAGAAGAGATCTGTTAGGGGTTACTTGGAAGAGGCAGAAAAGGAGAAAGGATTTGTGCTTTTTGCTGGAAATACAATTGATGCCACTTATTAAGAAACTGGACAGGGGTGTGTCAAGGATGAGGCCCAGCTTTCTAGTTGGGGTGCAATCTGTGAGAAAGTTGAGATAATGAAGAAATAATTGTGGAGGAATGACTAAGCATTCGCTTCTGTACATGGTGGAAGAATGGGGTGCATATGAAAAGGAGATCTCAAGGAACAGAAGTGGGGAAGCTGAAAAATCTGTCAAATTCACACACTGGTTCCCCCCACCCCATATTTTGTCAAATATCTGAACTAAGGAGATACCTGAATAATTGACTTTCTCCTATCAATAATGTTTGATATTAGAAAATCATAAATATGTCTACTTTAGATATTTTGAACAGTTATAAACATTCAGTTAATCCATTTTGTAGACTTTCTTCATATCCAGACTATTTTCAATTGGAGGACTGTTTTTATCTGTGCACATAAAAGGTAAAGAGTGTTATTCCTTCCTTTTCTGTAAGTAAATGTTATAGGATTCTTTGAAACAGTAATAAAATGATTATATAAATTAAATTTTACATTTTTATAATTCAATACTATGTTTTATTCCTTCTATCCATTGCACAAATTTATAATTCTGAGATAACCTTTGATATTTGTGATTCTGCTTTTATAGCAGTGTTAATCTTCCAATATTTAGATAGAACTACCTGTTTGGTGATTTATAGCTATGTATTACGATAATAAGTATTGGGGTAATATGCAAATATGATATAGAGTATCTTAACAATATGTAAGAATTTCCCTAAACTAACAGAGATTTAGTCATTGAAAGAAGTTGGGGTATCTGTGTGGGGGCAGTCAATTGAGTGAGAAGAAAGGATAATCATATGTACAAAGAATTGATTAAGCAAATCCATTTAGGTTTGCCAAGCAACTGAAAATCAAATAAAGTAGGAAAATTTGAAGTATGTTTGTGGGCTCTTAGGAAATAGATTTACAATAAAAGATTTCTAGTGACTTTTCCAAGGACACGGTAAGTCATAACTTCTAAGGAGCTGTATAAAATTAAGCATATATCAAACTGTTAGTTCCTATGGCCTAAAAATTCATGTAAAGATTTCAGAAACTGGTCATTTGGCCCATCTATTATTCCATAACTTGACTTTTAGTGTATAAATAAGTCCTATAGCTTCCTGTAGTGAGCAAAGAGTTCAGTGAATATTGAATAAGCTAGCATTGTAAATGAAAATTAAATACACTGTCCTTATACTTAGTACAGAGACTGCCTGCACTGAAATCCACGCACCCCAACCACCATAATGGACAGCTTTCCTATAATATGGGGTTTTAGGTTATCAAATATTTTATTTGTCCATAATTTAGTTGTTCATGACCAAGCAGTTTACCTTACCATTGGTAGAAAATAAACACAAAGATTATACAGCAAGTTCCATTACTGGCACCCAACAAATAGCTACATGGAAGGATACCATATATTCCCCCAGTCTCTTGCCATGTGGTAAATTATAATGTGTATTCATTTTTTAATACATGTGCAAATCTGCTTCTGAATGCAAAGAGCAGTTTACTTTTTATTCAGGCCCATATCCTGGACTCCAAGTTCCCACTGGTAGGTGGACCTGTTTGTGATGAAGACCATTCTGAACAATGATTTGACCCTTGGTAAACACAGTAGCCAATTTAACTGTTTGGTATGGGGTCTCAAAGCACTAAATTTTCCTTTTAGTGCTAAAATTTTTTCAATCCTTTTGAATTACCAAAATAGTCCCCTTGGGTACACAAGGGGATTTGCTTGAGGACATATATAATGAAACCTTTTATGGGGATAAATAATACAGAATCAAATAAAATGCCAAACTCTATGTATTAAACAAGGAAAACATTCTTCTTGGAAATAAATTGGAGCTGAGTTACCACTTTCTCTCCATCAAAAAAAACAAATCTTTTTTCTAATTGGATAAAGGACAATGTATCTGAGACTTCACTTTGTTTTCTGGCACATATCTGTGTAATTTGTTATGTATGCATATTGTTAATTTCTGATTATTTCTGGATGCAAGGTATTTGTAGATTGGAGGTGTTCCCTAAGCCAATATTTGTTCACTCTTCATAATTATGTCTATAAACAAGGTCTCTCCTGAGATATTATAGCAAA